CCGTAGGGATTTGCTGCAGACGCTGACGGATGGACGAGCTGCACACGCTGGAGCGGAACCTCTGCATTTCCCACGACGTGGAGTTCCCCCTCCGCGCAGACGTGCCGGTGCCCCCGGCCCTGGCGCCCGCCTTCCCGGCGCCCCTCCCGCCCGAGGAGCTGCTCCCCGCCAAGGGCAAGGACCTGGAGGCCGAGCTGGCCTGCTCCATGCAGTACGACGACCAGGAGCTGGAGCAGCTGAGCCGCATGGTGCACCGGGCCGGGGACGCCATGTCCTCCCTGCTGTCCCCGCCCAGCGCCTGCCAGTCCCCCGCACGCAGGCCGGGCAGCGAGGGCAGCCCCCGGGTGGAGGCCTCCCCGGGCCGCAGGCTGCGGCCCTCGGGCAGCGACGAGGAGGAGGGCAGGGTGTTCTTCATGGACGATGTGGAGGGGGCAGCCGAGGCCCCGGGCAGCCCCTCCGTGTGGCCGGGTGGCCCCCGCGCTGACTCCCAGGAGAGAGAGCAGGGCCGGGAGGCAGGGGGCAGCGTGCCCGCCACCTCGAAGGACGAGGACGACTTGAGCAACAACAACAACATCCCCGACCAGGACAAGGCCTGGGCGTCGGGCCCCAACTCCTGCAGCTGCCTGGACGCCCAGCCGCACCTGGACGGCTGGGAGGCGACGGCGGACGATGCGGAGACCGCGGAGATGATCGCCCACCGGACGGGGGGCATGAAGCTCTCGGCCACGGTCATCTTCAACCCCAAATCGCCGGCCGCCCTGGACGGCGCCGTCTCTGCCCCGGAAGCGGCCGGAACCGGAGCCTCCCCGTCGGAGACCGTGGCCGAGGGGACAGAGGGCCCCCACAAACTCGGCGCCGCGGCCACCAGCTGCCTCCTGAACTCCTGCGTGTGCTGCGGGGGCTGCCGGGGCGGCAGGGAGGAGGCGGCCGAGAGCCTGCTGGACAAGTGCAGCCCGGGCGTCATCGGCACCTCCTATGTCGGCTCCGGCTTGGCCAAGGGCGGGGCCAAGAGGCCGGAGGAGGCCCAGCCTGCCCTGGAGGCACTGCCCGCGGGGCCCCCGGGCCCCCTGCCCCCAGAAGACACCCCCGACCGGCAGGAGCCCAGAGCCCCTGCTCCCAGCAAGTGCCTGGCACTCACCTCAGGGCCCGTGATGGATGCAGCAGACAGGCTGCCGGGCGGTGGCCATGGCGGTCAGCAGGAGGAGCCCGAGGCCAGACAGCCGGACGGTGGACAGCCCTCCGGGGCCGGGGAGGGCAGCCGCAGCCTGTCGGGCCCCAGGTAAGAGCTCTGGCCACTGGGCTCACCCTCTGACTGCACTGGGGGCGTGTTGTGTGGGCTGATTCTCTGTCGAGGTGTTTCCACGGGCCCTCGGGGGTGGGGGGTGGGGGGGGTGGCAGGGCCTCCTGGGCACGGTGGCGACATCCCGCCCAGAAATGTCCCCATTGGCCCCTGAGGACACAGGTGCCTTTCAGGTGGTGGCAGTGCCAAGCCCGTGGCCCACCCCGCCCGCTGCGTGGCCCATCCTGGCCCTGGTGTGACCAGCGTGTGGGTGGGCTGGACGGTGGTGATGGGCGTGGCTTTGTCTTTGCTGCCCCGAGGGTGCCCACCTGACCACTCAGCCACTCGACCCCGTGGGCTGCACTCACCCTCAGTGAGGTGTGGGCCCCGGGCCGCCTGGGTGCTGGGACCACCCGAGATCCTCAGGGGGTGCTCTGGGCGCTGCCCTCCCTCCAGGTGCTCCTCTCCCTCGAGGCCCTGACCCATGGGCCCCCGCGCCTGGGCACCTCCGCGGACTCCAGGCGTCTTGGGTCCCTGGCTCCCCTCCCCCGACTTATCCAGACAAAGCAGATCAGCCGGCCGTGCCCGCTCCACCCTTGACATCGGGCAGAGGAGGCGCGGGGTTCGCCTCGGTGGTTCCCACAGGCCGGTGTGTTGTCACCACCGGCAGGTCTCTCACCAGGACCCTGCCTGCAGGGCGCCCACCTGGCCTCGGCCATGACCACCAGTGGGTGCTCAGCCTGGAGGCTGGATGAGGCCCTCTGTCAGGAGCCGTGGGAGATGGGTACAGAGAGGTGGTCGGCGGGGTGGACCGGGGAGGGGTCTCCACACCAGGGGGAGGGGTCTCCACATTAGAGGGAGGGGTCTCCACATCAGGGGGAGGGGTCTCCACATCAGGGGGAGGGACTTCACATCAGGGGGAGGGGTCTCCACATCAGGGGGAGGGACTTCACATCAGGGGGAGGGGTCTCCACTTCAGGGGGAGGGACTTCACACCAAGGGGAGGGGTCTGGGGGTACAGGGCTGTGTGCTCTGCCTCCTCCTCTCTGGCCTCGTCCTCCCAGCACAGGTCTGAGGAGCTGGCTGGGACCTTGTGGTGTTGGGGCCGCTGCTGCTCTCTCCTCCGAGCCGAGCCCCATGTTTGCGGCTGGACCCCATAGCCTGTGTGCCCACGACTGCCTTTCCTGGGTGGGGCCTCAGTCACTCCCACCCCTCCCCCAGCCCTGGGTACTTCCTGGCTCCATAGATTGGCCTGTTCCGGACACTTCATATAAACAGAATCACACAAAAAGCCAGATACGTTTGGTGTCTGGCTTTTTAAAAAGTGCATCTTCATTGTTGAAAGTGTTACAGATATCCCCGCTTCCCCCATCGGCCCCCACCCGGCCCCCGCCCCCGCCCCAGGCCTTCTCTACACAGTTGTCTGTGTCCAGGGGTTATGCATACATGCACACAAGTGCTGTGGTTAATCTCTTCCCATCCACCCCCTCGCCCCCGCCTTCCCTCTGGGACTCGACAGTCTGTCCCACGCTGGTGTCTGGCTTCCTACTGCGCATCATGCTTCCAAGGCCGTGTGCACTGTAGCAACACCAGCCCTTCCTTCCTTTTCATGGCTGCGTACTATTCCGTGTGGGGATGGACGTGTTTTGTTTATCCACCTGTCTGTCCAGGTGTGTGTTTTTGTGTGCGTGTGCGTGTGTGTGTGTGTGTGCTAGTCCCACCTTTTGGCTATTATGAATAATGCTGCTGTGAACAAGTTTTTTTAAAAGTATGTTTTTTTTACTGAGTTCAGGGAGGAAAGGAGAGGGAGGGAGGGATAGAAACATTGATGAGAAAGAATCATCGATCGGCTGCCTCCTGCACGCCCCACCCTGAGGATCAAGCCCGCAACCCGGGCCTGTGCCCTGACCAGGAATTGAACTGTTTTCTCCTGGTTCATACAGAGGTCGCTGTTCAACCACTGAGCCACACTGGCTGGGCTGTGTACAAGTTTTTGTGTGTGTGGTCATGTTTCCATTTCTTTTGCTTTGATATCCAGGAGTGGAATTGCTGGGTCACGTGGTTTAGCTTTCTTTGTAAATACTTTTTTATTGACTTTAGAGAGAGAGAGAGAAACATCGATCGGTTGCTTCCCATACACACCCCGACTGGGAACCAAAACCACAACCCAGGCGTGTGCCCTGACAGGGAATGGAACTGGCAACCTTTCGGTGCACAGGACAACGCCCAGCCCACTGAGCCACACAGGCCAGGGCCGTGGGTTAGCTTTTTGAGGTGCTATCACCTGTTTGCACAGTGGCTGCCGTTTGCGTGCCCACCATCCTGTCTGGGGTTCGTTTCTCCACATCCTCACCAGCACCTGTGTCCTGTGAGACTGTTTAAACAGTTCCTCTGTCCTCGGGGCACACCCCCTGGGACTCACCTGAAATGGCCGTCTGCGGCCAGGCCCCCAGTTCGCCGCAGCAGGTGCCTTTGTCCCGTTAGCAGCAGATGGTGGACACCGTGTTTGCACTGGGTTTCATTTGTATTTAATTAGGTGGAATGTTTGCGTGACTCCCCGTCAGGTCTACGGAATAAGATATAACCGGAGAACTCAGTCTCTTCCCCTCATTTGCACCCTCTCCTAAAGTAACAGGTTTACATTTTTATAGCTTCTCCTAAAACTTTAAAAATAGAAGCAATGGTGCATGTGAACCCACACCGCCCACACACATGCTTCCCCTCCTGTACTTGGCAAAGGGCCTCGTCCTGCGCACGCTCCTCTCGCCGTGCGTTCCTGGCCGAGCCTGGAGGCTGCCCGTGGTAGCTTCTAGACGTGTCCCCACGGTCACTTTCGGCCGCCTGGGGCCCCGCTGTGTGGCTGGACCCGCGTCACTCACACCAGCTGCTGGCCTTGGGGTGGCCCCAGACTTGGCTCCCAGGAGCGAGCGGTGCCGCAGGGAGCAGCCTCCTGCGCCGTCCCTCTGTGATGAGGCCACTTGGGAGATCGGGCCCCGCTGCCTCAGCCATGGCCAGCGGGACGAATTCTTGTCCACCACCTACTGGACGGCTCTTCCTCAGGGCCCCCAACTCAGTGGCGAGTGGATTGGTAAGTGCATCGCTTTTCTGCCAGGCTGATCGGAAGACATCACACATTCTCGGACGGGCTGCGTGGATTTCGGTGACTGACCTGCACCCACTCTTTTGCTGTGTGTTCAGGTGACAGCCCGAGGACACCTGCTCTGTCTGGAGCCCCCTCCTGCCTTCCTGACGTGTCCAGCCATGGACGCGGCTTGTGCACGACACGCCTCAGCCTCCGGGCCTCATCAGCTCAGTGCCCCGCCGAAGCTGGGAAAAGGAAGAGAACCCACAGAGAGCCCCATGAAAGCCTCGAGAGACGCCCCATCCTCCAGGATTTCCATAGGTGCAGGGGTCCGAGGGAGGAAGACTGTGGTAGGCGGCCAGCTGACTGGACAGCCCTGCGTCTGGGTCAGGACCTTGGACAGCGGCGCCCGGGCTCAGCACTGCGTCGGGGAAGCTGGGAATCCGGCCAGCAGGTGGCGCTGTCGCACCCACAGGCCGGGCTCCCGGGGAGCGAGGCTCATTCACACCCGGCTCATACCTGGGCGGCCCGAGACCCACCCAGCGACCAGGCGGGGCGCCGACCTCAGGGGGCCTGAGGAAACACGGGGCATTGGGAAGACAAGCATGAAAGATCAAGCAGCCTGCTGCCCAGCCACAGGCAGGACGTTCACAACATTCCGACGGCGAGACGCCTGGACCTGGCTGGCATTAGGTGATGGCAGCGGCCCCGGGGCAGTGCAGCTGGTCACCCCGCCTGGCAGACGGAGAGACAGGCCCCAGCGGCTGTGCCTGAGCCCAGCGCGCCCGCAGCGCGAGCCCGTTCCGCCCCCTGGCGCTGTGTCATGTGCCCTTCGTGGGACCAGCGTCAGCCTGATCTGACCCTGAGGCCCGGCTGTCCAGCAGGTGCTCCTGGGGCCCCTGCAGCGTGTGCCTGAGGAGGGAACACGGGCCGCCCTGCACTCACGGTCACGGGCTCCTCAGACCCGCGGCCACACCTGGACACGGTGCCATGAAGGAGACGCCCGGGACGGTCTGCTTGCTCTAAGGGCACCACCGGGAGCGTGTTTCCCCCGCTGAGCAGAGCACGGCCCAGGTGGAAGGCCGGCTGTCCGGGTCCTGGAGGAGGGTCCAGCCGGGAGGAGCCCCTCTGCAGCATTTCCCTGGCCCAACCTGCGCCCTGTGCTCCCAGCTGTCCCGGCAGAACGGAACGATGTCCTCAGCTCTTCTTGCTGCTTCTTTCCTCACCTTTTCAGGGCCACAGATCAGCCTTTTTGGGAAAAGTGGCTTTTTTTA